GCAGGTCTTGAATGCCCGGAGCAGACCACATCGGCGAACGATGGGGCCGAGGATCCGAGGGCGGAATCCACGTCCGAGAAGGCGACCCTCTCCAAGGAGACGGGGCTGCAAGGAGACATGGCAGGCGGCAGCGAGACAGGGCCGGTGGAGACCTCAGCCGGGTGGCGGAGGCACGGCCGCGCCGTCGGCACAGGGGCCGGCGACGCCGAGGGGTGGGGGGAGAGCACGCTAGGGAGAGAGACCAGCGAATAACCATTTACTCTCTCCGACCAAAATATAAGACGTTTTTGTAGTTCAAATTTAACCGCAAAAATGTCTTATATTTTCATAGAGGTAGTACAAGATTCTTCTACTATCAGACAGGATCACACCGTCACACATCTGCTTTAACCGTTGCCATAATAAACAGCGGTCTGCGCCCCCAACCTTTTGAACCACCCCCAACCATCAGCAAACACAACGCCAACTGTGATATTCATATTGGCAGTTAAATTATAGTCTACTAAACCGACACAAAGACCAAAACCCTGTCCTTTTCCCATTGCCAACTTTATTTCCTACAAAAACTCGTAAAAATATTTCCTACTTTCATCACCCCTCACGAATATTGCATGACTTCGCGCACAAGAATATCGCAGCAAAAAAAGGCACAATTTCTCTGCTAAAAAGCGGAGCATTTGCTCCGGCGAACAAAGAACAGCTTCTTTACTGCTGGTCAAGTGCATGTATGTAACTAGAATGGTGATCGTGCGGAGAGATGTTAACGCCTCCATCCGCATCGACTTATCGTTATCCCAAATTCCTCATCTCCAGAGTGCGGAGTTGGGTTGCGATGCCATTGCACCCCCAACTTTCGGTAGCCAGCTTTAGACACGATCTGCGGAGCAGCTTGCATATCACCATCCTTCTTGTTTTCTCCCCTATCAGGTATCAGGTGGAAGAAGATTTATGACCGCGTCGATGTCAAACCTGTTAAGCAAGAATTTCACGAGGTCAAATTGCTTAGAAAGGGAAACAATTGGTGTGGCACATAATATTTTACAAGAATTTTCCAGTTCTTTGTTGTGCCAAATCATGGTAAAATAGTATGTTATGAGGAAGACCCACCTCAGCAATCAACGCCAACCCAGGCCCTAGGCTAAATCTTGGCTTTCAGGTGGAGCTCGTAGCAGACAGTCTAGTGCCAGTCCTAGCTCATCTAGCATGTATCCCATGTAGGGAACCCCACGATCCATTTTTTTCAGATCTAGTGGAACTAGAGTCAAGACTCAAGAGCACCCACGGATGAAGAAAGGTTACACAACAATTACTCATACAGCACCTATGTGATGAATATTAGTCAGACTCAAACAAAAGAGGAAGAATGACAATATCCAACATAAGTTGGTGCAAGTTTTGGTGTATGTTGTCCTGGAAAGAGAGCATCATCAACTTTTTCCGGAAGAAATAGGTGAACATCAGCAAGTTTGGTGTGATGCTGTTGATCAGTACCATCAAAACCAGGCAGACAAATCCTGATGCACCTAACACCCGAGAAAGTGATAATACATCTGCAATTAACCAGGAGGCGAAATGTGGCACCCCTATGTACAATCTAAAGGGGAATATTGTGCACGAAAGTGACTAATGTTAATCTGATCACCGGAATATGAAAAAGAGAGCAAAATCAAAAGCACTGACCAGGAATTGAAATGCCATATGCTCCAAAGATGCTCCCAACAAAGAATACGGAAGATGTCCCTCTCGACCACCTCAACATAATCTAATTTTAATCACAGATTTCTTTGAAACAAATCTAACCACGTGTCACATAAGAGCACATATACACAAATATAAACGAGGTAAAAAATCTCGAGTGCAAATTTGGCATTAGATACCATATCAGGAACGAACCCTTTCAGGTGCTTCCCCGGTGCCCATGAACTGCAAGAGCATCACATAACCAATAGACCAGAGTAGTTGCTCAACGAGCATCGCTGAACAGTAACTATCAATAAGTGTAAGATAGTCGCCGCCGTGATAGTTTATTTGCAGGCTCAGGCAGCATATATTCTGTGAAAACCACAGAAAGCTGGAGTGCTGCGAGAGGAATATTGAGATTAGGATGTGGGCAAGGAGCATCAGCAAAAAGAAATAAAACTGTGCATCTAGGAGCATTGATGAGAAAGAAAATGCATATGAAAAGCATAGCTCACCGAATTGTGCGTGCAACTTGAGGTTGAACACAGATGCCAAGGACACTGAGAAAAGAATTGATGCCATGGCGCTTGGACGAAGAACCTCCATTCATGAGATAAGTAGCTCATGCAATTGGGATGGCTATTCATGATTGATTCCAATTGGATTTGTACTTTACTTTATATATGCCTCCAACGACCAATTTACAAAGGATGATTGGAAAAGGAACAAATCATGTACTAGTGTACACTTCTGGGAAAAAGGATAAGAGAGTAAGGAACTTCAGTTTTATTGACAACGGAAAGATTCTTAGACCAAAGCAGTTTTTCTTGTTTACCATAAAAACACATAAAACCCTTTACTTCCAGTGAAGACACCAATTTTTTTGATGCCTTCCATTCCCCCCTACCAGCTGCATCAGATTCATTTATTTTCCTATAACATTATCTGGTTAACGAGGTCAATTCACTGTGTGTACTCCTCCATTAGAATTTTATGTAGTACCCCTCCATCAGAAAAGGCTCTAGACTGGCAAAGATCCAGAGGCAACTAAGCGTCAAAGAGGTTCACAGACGCTAGAGCAGAAAGCTTCAGGTCATATATAACCTACAGTTCTAAATAGCTGCCAGGACCAGTCTCTTACAACTGAATATGCTCCCACAAGCTGATGCTGCTTTGCAAAAGATGGAAGAGCAAAGGATGATGCTTTGGATTCTTCTTTTGATAACCTCTTTACATGTTGATAGCAAGACTGCCCACCCTCCAGTTCAAACAGTATGCAAAACCTGACAGGTTACCTATAAGGAAAATAAACTGAAGCAAGTATCTCGAAAAAAATAGATAGTAAATTGACATACCATGCTACACATACGTGCACAGTCATCAGCACATAGGAGTAAACACAGTAAATTTGTGAATGGGGAAATAAATCTGTGGTATTATCATAAACATCATAATACAGAGCAAACGTTCTCCAACTAAAACCTATGAGAGCCTTACTGTTTCGAAGGGAGAAGAAAGATGAAGCATAAAAAGAAAGTTATGTTACAAACTTACCGTTCCCAATGAGTAGCTAAAGGAAGACCTTACTGGAAGGGTTAGTGGAATCAGTGATAGTAAAGCATAAAGAGGGATATTCCTGATGGTTCATTCCTTTAAGTGCAGAAGACCATTAAACCGTTGCAGCTGAAAATGTCTCACTGGTGGTCCCAAGTGTCGACATATACCACTGGCACAGTTCTAATGAGGTGCCACTTCAATCAATTGAATCACACATAGAGAACTGGTGCATAAGTACAGAAGGCACAAAGGGAGGGACCAGGGGGGTATTTCGAACTCTATAACTTGTGTTCCTTTTTATCCTTACCCTTTATTACTCATGGCATGATACATGAGGATAACTCATGCCTTTTCTATCAGTATCCCAAAGAAATAAAAATGAAGGAATGAAGGCAAATTGATGAAATGCGGATAAATTTGACAAACTTGACTGCAGGAAGAGAACAAAACCAGATCGTTAGAGCTGCAGAACACATCTCCCGATGAACCAAACATGAATTTATTGTATTGAACCCATATTATATTTTATAAGTAATCGGGAGGGAGGGAGGGAGGAAACATAGCGCCTACTTCTGCTTAGAAGTTAGAACTCACATCTAACTTTTCAGTGACTTGGTTAGAAGAATGATTGCTATAAGGCAGCTGCCTATGTTAGCAAAAAGTACTGAAATGATGAAGGTTGTGTAGCACATACAGGATCATAGCACATAAGTGTTGTTGTTTGACTAGTGATGATTAAAAGCAAAGTGGTCTGGTTCAAATGGAGCTTATCCCATGTAAAGAGCATAAGCCAGTAGGTCCATACTTTTCTGGACTACAATGAGAATATGTACCAATCTCAGGAAAGGACACTGATGGAACTTGTGCTTGTTCATATTCTATCCACTTTACAGTAGTACAAAGGACAGAATAAATTGACAGAAAAATTGTGCTTCTGTGTGTAAGATGTCACTCTCCAAGAAGGCAACAAGTATCAGCAATGAAAAAAAAACTTAATTGATTCATTTAAACAAAGATGCACATACTGCATTCCTCTAAGAGCATTAAAATCATTAATCACATAACATGAACCAGCAACACTAAACTAAATACTAGTAACGAAGGTAACAGAGAAGTTGCACAAATATTTCCATCTCGGCAAAATGAGTGATTCGGAAAGGTATCTTTCACGCTCCAAGCAGATATAGCAGATAATATGCCAAAAAATAACATTCCAGAAAGACAAATTGCTCCAGTTGTAGGTATTTATTCTGTACATATACCTTCTACTGATCTAATGAGTAAATATGCAGCTGAAGTTTCCATACAGAAATGCAGAGAAAGCTAAAGGACTAGTTTCATTACTGAGGGGTACAAGGTTGATGTTACTCAGCTGTCACAGGTTGCTATTAGTACTGATATTTTGATTTTGGTTATTATTTCCAAGAATAACTGAGGACAGCATCTTCTGTCAGTTGGGTTAAAGATTGTTCTTCTGCTGTTTGTTCTAAGATGCTAGATTCTATGTTTCCCCATATAAGGAGCCCCTCACAGGGCATTCCTTATCAACCTGAGAAGACCAAAAGGGTATCAACAGGCTTAAGCTCACACGGAGAACAAGACTGGTATTCGTCTTGTCAGTAGGGAAATACTCAATACACAGTTTCAACGTGCAACAGCAAAGAGGAAGGAAGCGACTGCAGAACAAGTAAGAAGTTGGTTAGATCTTTAAGCCCTCCAAATTTCTGTTGTTCTAAAAATTTCTGTCCATTCTACAGCAGAAGATGTATCACCAACATCAGGGCCCTAGTGAGCTCTTCACTACTAGGACGACCTTTCCCATGGAGAGGCATCTGTTTCTGCACGGAGGAAGTACGCAAGGAGATTCTGGGCTAGTTCTCTCAACCGATGCAAAACCAAGGCTCAAATGGACACCCGAGTTACATCAGCGATTTGTAGACGCGGTCAATCAATTGGGTGGAGCAGAGAGTTAGTATACATCTATATGTTTCTTATCTACTCATTGTACAGAAGTCCGCTGAATTCTTACACTCATGTTTATCACGCAGAAGCTACTCCAAAAACAGTCATGAGGCTTATGGGCATTCCAGGACTCACCTTGTATCATCTGAAAAGCCACCTCCAGGTACATGATAATCATAAATTCTCATGTTAAAAATGGCGCCCATAACTGCAGTCAAGTCAGAATTTCTTTGATGTTTCAGAAATACAGGCTCAGTAAGAACCTCCAAGCTCAAGTTAACGTCGGGACAAACAAGAACAGTAAGCCCAAGTTTAACTTCTATAGTTCCATCTTTACCATTATAATATATCTGTATAATGACACACAGGCCATGAAATTTTGCAGCCATAGGATGTGCAATTGCAGCTGATGGCATGCCCGGAACAAGTGTGCCAGAGATGATCAATACAAATGCCATTCCACAGCCAGAGAAGTAAGGAAACTGGCCATGCAATTCAGAATTGTATTTCATGTGAATATGAAGTACTAATCTCTCTTACTGGGTGACAGAACTATGCAAATTGGTGAAGCCCTACAGATGCAAATCGAGGTGCAGAGACAATTAAACGAACAACTTGAGGTGAGGTACTGAAACTACTTGTGTAATAAGCTCTTAACCAAGACAATTCATTAGATGCACACAGTAGATGGAAATCAAGATAACCTGAATCCTTATTTGACTGATAATGTATTCTAAATCCTTATTTGACACCTTTGAACGCTGCGCTTCCTCCAGGGATGGCCCCATAAAACGAATACAGTCTAGCAATTAAAGAACCAAAAGAGCGAAAAAGCAATTTGGCACCACTCATTAAATTCAGATGCTTAATACCTTCTTCTAATGTAGCAATGAACTTTGTCAAATTCCAGCTAAGTAACAGACCATGCATGGAGTGACTAAAACATATCCATCAGTGCAGTGGTTCTAACCTGAAATTAAATTGGCAACAGGTACAACGGCATCTGCAACTACGGATAGAAGCCCAAGGGAAGTATCTGCAGGCAGTTCTAGAGCAGGCACAAGAGAGCCTTGGAAAACAGAATTCGGGTCCTGCAAACCTGGAAGATGCAAAGATGAAAATATCAGAACTAGTCTCACAAGTATCAAATGAATGTTTCGGCAGTGGAGTTACAGAGATAAAAGAAAGTTCAAGTATGCACAGACTAGAGCCGAGGCAAATCCAGTTCATGGAAAGTTCAACCAATAACTGTTTGACTGCAGCCGGAGGATTCATCAATGAGCATAGACTACACAGCCATGGAATGCTCAAAGCATATGATGATAGTTCAATATTTTGCAGAAAGCACTCTCCTGACCATGAGTATCAGTTTTCCCTTAATAGAAGCCTAAGCGAGCGTAAGATGGGTCATTTGCAAAATGTGAATGAGTACCACAAAGCAGAGTTTGGAAGTGAAAGTGACATGGAGATTCAACAGGAATATACTACACCTCAAAAGAATGGCAGAGGCAGCACCGCCAGTTCGGCCTCAGGAAGCAAAGAAAGAGATGCAGACAGACTATATCTTGAAGAAGCAAACTGCAAGAGACAAGCGGTTGAACATTCCGGTTTTGAGCATCCAAGTTCTGGGAAGAAAATTGATCTGAACACTCAAAACACTGATGATGGTGATCAAGGGTATAGGCATTTTGATTTAAATGGCTTCAGCTGGAGCTGAATTGTTAATGATATGCAATATGATTGAAGAGAAGAAATGAGCATACAAATAATTTTTCCTGGCATTTTGAACACCATTATTTGGTGATTAAACTGTGTAGGTTAAGAAAAAAATACTAGTACACCAGAGTTCAACCATTGAGTATAGAAACTGAGATGTTATAGCTCAGCAGTTTAAATCTCTATTTCGAGAGGTTTAATACATATGAATAGGATATCAAATCTGTATAATAAAAAAAGGAATAGGGATGAAATATAGGAATAGAATGCAGAAGGCAAAGATAGCTAGAGAACCACCAACCGAGTAAGCGTCACACTTAATACAGGTAAACCATGGTGAGAAATACTCATCCATGTATATAATACAATTTCTCGGAATTTAAGCAGTAAGAATAGCAGGGACTACCAGAACCTTACCCTACCAAATAACACCGTTAAATCAATTTAGTAACAGAAGCTATCCCTGCCATTATGCGGATACTTTCAGCTCAACACAGCTTAAAACAAAACCAAACAGTTTATCGATTGATGCAGACTTCACGAACACAACTGACATCTCAGAGAAGCATGTGTAGAATAAAGATGGAAGTAATTCGTCCGCAGTCATCTCTGCACATCGTTCAACCAGCATATAAACTGATGCATCTATTCATCCACACAACGCAAACGATTTTTGAGGTAAAGTCCATCGCAGCACTTATTTGCATACGATCAGCATCAGGCAAGGCAAGAGTCATTTATAGCATAATAATTCGATTAAAAACTGCAAATGGAAGAGCAAAGCTATGTATAATCTTGGGGGGTGATGTGCATCACAAGTCATATAAGAAGACATGTATCTATTCCTTTGTTCCTCTCCTTATTCTCATCTATACTTGCCACAAGAGCAAGAGCACTGTATTATAGAGTATGGAATAATAACTAGAAAACTAGTTTATTATGGAGAGCAGTGAGCGCCGGTGTCATCCACTCATCGCTGCTACTACTACTACTTCTTGATCCGGCGCACCTTCTTGGCGCCCCAGACCTCCATCCTGCCCTTGGCGCAGCCGCAGGGGGAGCGGAAGATGAGCACGGAGCGGCCGTTGGGGGGCGCCATCTTCCGGAGCTCCGCCTCGAGCTCCCGGTGCTCCTCGCCGAGCTCGACGAGGCGCGCGGCGGAGCCGGCGGCCGCGAGGAGCGTCTTGGCGTGGCCGCCGGGCGGCAGCAGCCGGCCGCTCCCGCGCACGCACTCCTCCGTCTCGAGCTGGATGTCGAACTCGACGGCCTTGCGCAGGCCGCGGCAGCGGGGCCGGCCGCACTTGCGCGCGTGGTGGCCGGCCGCCTCCCACGCGAGCAGGCCCGCCACGGCCGCCACGGCCGCGCCGGCGCCCGCCGCGAAGGCGACGTACGAGTAGGGCTCCTCCGGGTACTGCCGCACCAGGTCGGCGGCCTCGCGCGCCAGCAGCCTGGCGTAGGGCGCGGCCAGGAAGGCGAGCGCGCCGAGCACGGCGAGCAGGGCGAGCGCGTCGAGCGCGGCGGTCGGGGGCGGGTTGTCGCAGAGCGAGGTGAAGAGCCTTCCCCGCGACGATGGCGACGAGGAGGAGGAGGCCGCGCGGCGGGGGCGGGCGCACGGCGAGGGCGAGGCGCGGCGGCGGTGCTCGAAGGCGCGGAGGAACTCGATGAGGCTGCGGCAGTCGGCCATGGCGAGGCGCGGCGGATCGGGATCTAGGCGCGGGGGCGCCGGTGCGGGGTGGGCGGGCTAGCCGCGAGCCCGAGCGTCGCGTCGCGTGTGCGGGCGGGGGTCCGATCGGTGGGTATTTTTGACCCGGTTGGTGGGCGGCTCGCCGTCGCGTCGCGCGAGTGACGTGTGGCGTCAGGGAAGGCTGGCGGAAGGAGCCGGGCCGTCGCTTCGCTTGCTTTCTCTTCTTCTTCTTTTTCCTACGTTGCGGGGGAGGTTGCGCGTCACATGCTTCACACGGCGTTCTTTTCTTGTCATCTTTTTCTTTTTCGCCCGCTTGCTTTTTTGTGCGACCCGTTTCAGCTTTCAGGTGCAGGCAGGCTCGCCGCGCTCTTGGACTCGTTCGACTGTTGAATCGCCTTTATTTACTGGACCGGTTCAACCGGATGACGATGTCAACAAATAAGTTCGATTGGAGGGCTTACCGATATTTTTTGTAAGATAATAACTCGACCTTCGTTGTTGCGTATTCTTCTTCTTCTTTGCGGTTGGACCTTTGGTGGGGTATAAAGGGTCTTTGTGTTTACAAGACTGGACGCGAGAGTCACACGTCGCATGACCGTGCGACAAAGCGCACGTCACACCAGCAAATATGTCATTAAATCGATTTTCCTATTGCCAATTTCTAGATAGACTACCGTGTAGTCGGGTCGTCTCCAACGCCGACCCTCAAACCCCTCGTAATCGTCTGAACCGTGCGGTTGGTTGGGACGTGTTTTGCCATCCAACGCGAATATGTATTGGTCTGCAGGATGGCCCGGGCGTCTTTTTCCCACAAACCGGAGACAAAGTTGGGGAGCGGGGTTATGGGTGTCTGGACCGTTGACATGTCCGCGTCTGGCAACTGTGGCCCACCCAAAACCCTCCTCATTCACCCACGTGCTTTCCAGCCCGACGCCAACAGCTCACATTGCTGTCGACCCAGACCGGACGCGGCCTCGCACTGCCGGCATTGGAGTAGGGCGTCGGCTGAGAGAGCGCCGCTTGTTGCACGCCCGGCCGAGCAGCCTCCTCGTCGCATTCAAACGGCTAAACACTGCCTACCTACCTCCACATGCGCGTATGCCAAGAAACCTACTTCGGCCACACGTCCGTTCGCCCGCCGACGCGTTGAAAGTGCTAGTGATCGACTAGAGGGGGGGTGAATAGGCGATTTTTATGAAAGTCTTCAAAACATAGAAGTTCGAAGACAAACGATAGAAATGAACATATTACCATGTAGCGGAAGGTAGACTACACTAGACAAACCATAGTCAAGTATTCAATGAGGTGAAAGCATAATGACTAATAGCAGCTAGGCAGTAAGATCAGGTAGGAAGATATTGTGAAGCCAATCAGAACAAGTAGTCACTCAGTGAAGACAAAAGATAATACAATCATACAATGACTTCACAAGGACCAACAGTAAGCAAAGGGAAGGGAAGGATGAAACCAGTGACTCGTTGAAGATAATGATTTGTTGGACCAGTTCCAGTTGCTGTGACAACTGTATGTCTGGTTAGGGCGGCTAGGTATTTAAACCTGAGGACACACAGTCCCGGACACCCAGTCCTGAACACGCAGCTCATGACACTCAGTCCTCACCGTATTCCCCTTGAGCAAAGGTCACATAGACCTCGCTCAATCACTCTGGTAAGTCTTCAAGGTAGACTTTCAAACATTCACAGACTTCGTTCACCGGCGATCCACAATGACTCTTGGATGCTCAGAACGCGACGCCTAACCGGCTGGAGGATTCACAGTCCTCAAGTGTAATAAGTCTTCAGATCACACAGACAGGAAGACTTAAGTGATGCCTAACACTCTTTGGCTCTGGGTGTTTAGGGCTTTATCCTCGCAAGGAATCCTCTCTCAAAGGCTTCGAGGTGGGTTGCTCTCAAACGACAAAAGTCGTACTCTAACTCTGAGCAGCCAACCGTTTATGGTTGTAGGGGGTGGGCTATTTATAGCCACTAGGCAACCCGACCTGATTTGTCCGAAATGATCCTGGGTCACTAAGGAACTGACACGTGTTCCAACGGTCAGATTTCAAACACACACGGCAACTTTACTTGGGCTACAAGCAAAGCTGACTTATCCAACTCTGGACAAGATTTGCTCTCATAGTTTTCACTCGAAGACATAGGATTTTGGTTAAGCATCACTTCAGTCATTCTGACTGGTTCTCTTGGACCCCACTTAACAGTACGGTGGTTCCTATGACTCAACAAAGAAAAACACAGAACGACGAAACTGCTAAGTCTTCGCGCTCCATAGTCTTCACGCGATGTCTTCTCTTGTCATAGTCTTCAATGTGAATGTCTTCATATACCACCTTTGACTTCAATGTCTTCATACATTTTTAGGGGTCATCTCTGGTAGGAAAACCGAATCAATGAGGGACTTCTACCTGTGTTATCCTGCAATTCTCACAAACACATTAGTCCCTCAACTAGGTTTGTCGTCAATACGCCAAAACCAACTAGGGGTGGCACTAGATGCACTTACACGCGCATCAAACACAACGCCATTTGGCTCCTTGCATCTGCCGCTGTTTAAATGAGGACAAACATCGGGCAAGAACCGCACCACACCTCCGCTTATCATCTCCTCCTTACACCATATTCTCCACACTCTCTTGGCATCTGACGAGTAGGAAGAGGTGTTCTCCGACATAAAAAGGCGGCTGGGTGGCTCACTGGATACGAGTGTCAGTGTCAAAATCGGCGGATCTCGGGTAGCAGGTCCCGAACTGTGCGTCTAAGGTCGATGGTAACGGGAGGCAGGGGACACGATGTTTTACCCAGGTTCGGGCCCTCATGATGGAGGTAATACCCTACGTCCTGCTTGATTGATATTGATGAGTATGTGGATTACAAGAGTTGATCTACCACAAGATTGTTGTGGCTAAAACCCTAGAAGTCTAGCCTGTATGATTATGATCGCCTCTACGGACTAAATCCTCTGGTTTATATAGACACCGAAGGGGACTAGGGTTGTACAAAGTCGGTTATAGAGAAAGGAATCTTCATATCTGAACGTCAGGCTTGCCATCCACACCAAGGAGAGTCCCATCCGGACACGAGAGAGAGAGTCTTCTGTCTTGTATCTTTACGGCCCATCAGTCCGGCCCATGTCCAATAGGTCGGACACCCGAGGACCCCTTAATCCAGGACTCCCTCGGTAGCCCCTGAACCATACTTCAATGACGAGGTGTCCGACGCGTAGATTGTCTTCGGCATTGCAAGGCGGGTTCCTTCTCCGATCACTTCAAAGTACCTGACTTAAAGAGTTGTATTCGG